TCTGATTTGGGACCCAGTGCCTTCCCTGCTAGGCTGAGAGCTGTCTTCAAGATTTTCCTGCGAGTTAAGCCACTGCCAACAATGCAAGCATCCCACACGGGTGCCGGTTCAAGTCTCGGCCGCTCCACTTCCGATTCAGCTCTCTGCTATGGCCTGGGAAAGCAGTAGAAGATGGCTCAAGTGTTTGGGCCCCTGCACCCATGTGTGAGACCTGGAAGAAGCTCCTGGCTTTGACCTGGCCCAGCCTGGGCCATTGTGGCCATTCAGGGAGTGAACCATTGGAGGGAAGATCTCTCTCAGTCTCTCTCCTTCTCTCTCTAACTGCTTTTCAAGTACATTTTTTAAGCTTTATTTATTTATTTGAAAGGCAGAGTTACAGAGAGGCAGAGGCAGAGGGAGACAGAGAGAGGTCTTCCATCTGCTGGTTCACTCCCCAGATGGCTGCAACAGCAAGAGTTGCACTGATCTGAAGCCAGGAGCCAGGAGCTTCCTCTGGGTCTCCCACATGGGTGCAGGGGCCCAAGGACTTGGGCCATCTTCTACTGCTTTCCCAGGCCACAGCAGAGAGCTGGATCAGAAGTGGAGCAGCTAGGACTTGAACAAGCATCCATATAGGATGCTGGCACTGCAGGCGGTGGCTTTACCCGCTATGCCACAGCAACGGCCCCTCAAATATTTTTTTTCATATTTCTTATTTTTATTTCAACATTTAAAATATTCACAGGTTGAGTACCATAGTCAATGACATCTCCATGGAAGACATACCAACAAAGCGTACAGGCATTCCACAGTGACAGAATAACATATCTGACTGTGTGCATGTTTGCCCCAGAGCTTATCTTGAAACACATGTCTTTAAAAAGAAATGTAAGGGGCTGGCGCTGTGGTACAGTGAGTTAATGCCCTGGCCTGAAGCGCCAGCATCCCATATGGGCGCCAGTTCGAGACCCGGCTGCTCCACTTCCGATGCAGCTTCTGCTGTGACCTGGGAAGGCAGTGGAGGATGACCCAAGTCCTCGGGCCCTGCACCCTCATGGGAGACCCAGAAGAAGCTCCTGGCTCCTGGCTTTGGATCAGTGCAACTCTTGCCATGCAGCTTCAGCTGTTGCGGTCAATTGGGGAGTGAACCACTGGATGGAAGACCTCTCTCTCTCTGCTTCTCTTCTCTCTGTGTAAGTCTTTCAAATAAATAAATAAATAAATCTCTCTCTTTTTTTTTTTAAAGAAATGTAAGCGTTTCACTGTATTATTCCCATAAAAAGTAAATCACAATTTCAAGGGATATAAATATTAATACTTTTTTAAAATTTCAAACTTTTGTAACACTCAGTTTTTTCTCTTTTCTCAATAGCTAAGTCAGGATGATGCCTCAAATACATCTTAAAAATAAAAAATAACTCCTTCCCCTGAGTGCTAACAGAATGCTTGTGCAAGCAGAAAAATGACACACAACATACTTTGAAAAGAGCTGAGCAAATTGAGGTATCAACACAGGCATTCTAGATGTGATACACCGTGACATACAAAGCCCTGAGTCATTATCAAACTTCGAACCTGCAGCAGAATCGCCAGGCAGGCTGGTAAGACTCCGCCCGTCGCCTCGCTGCTGGAATTTCTGCTTCAGTAGGGCTGGGGTGGGGGCTGAGGGCTTGAATACCGACAGTGCTGGTCCCGGGAGCAGGCTGGAAACCACAGCGTGCAGAGCACACACTGGCCGCTTGGGGGCGCCGCTGCCTCTTGAGTGCCTAGAAACAACTGGATTCAATGGCAGCGGCGATGAGCCCTTAGGTGAGAAGCTGAGTCCTGCACTTAGGCAATATGTCATATGTACCCCTGTCATGCTGTTCATAGACGCAAACCAGCGCTTTCTTTTTGCTTTTTTTTTTTTTTTTTTTTTTTTGCTCTCAATGACAGCTTCTCGCGGGTAGCCATCTCCCCATTTTGTGGTCCGCTGAGAAATGTCGACCAAGGTTAGGAGACCTCAGCAGAGTTCTCATGACACGAATCACACTGAAAACACGCCACCGTGTCTCTCGCCCCACCGCGCTCCCACAATCCTTTGCCAAACAGGCATCTGCACCTTGCGTTCGGGTTATTGATTTGCTATCTGACTTTCTCAAGGGCTCGTGGATCCTTCAAGGACAGAACATTCTTTCTCCCAAAGGAAAAAAAAAAGTTATGTAATAGGAACATGTTTGTTTTTCTGCTGTTTGTCCCGAGTGTGTTGATAAGCAGCGAGGAAGTCGTCTCTGAGTGAGGATGCTGCGTGCGAGTGCTCCCGTGAGTCCCCGCGTCGGGGAGGATGGGGGCATGGCTGTGGGGGCACACGCATGCCGATGGGGGCATCTGTGTCTGCCTCTTGCAACACACGTGAAGGGAGCGCCCCTACCCCTGCCCATGCGTGCGTCGCTCGCCTGCAGGCGCAGTGCCCACGCCCTGGGTCTGCACGGTTCTGTGCGTGCTGTGTGCAGTGGGTTGTGCTCCTGAGCCTGGCTCTGCCTCCCTTCTGGGTGTTTCCCTGCCCTTGCCTGACACCCCTGACTCCTTGCTGGGGCGGGGAGGGGGCTCTAGGTGGCTGCTGCACTCTCCTGCCTCGGCTCTAAACCAGGAGCCCGTGCTGAGCCCGAGGGTGGGGCCCTGTGACCCTGGAGCCAAGGAGGCCCTCTGGGAAGTTAGCAGCTGGAGATTAGATTCTGTGGGGTCATGGGAGGAAAGGAAAGAGAAGGATCCAGGTCTGCCCCGGGAAGGGCCAGTCCCAGGGTCCTTCTGAGAACAGCAGGGCCGGCCAGTGCCTGTTCACTGAGCACCTGCCATGAGCCTCGTATCATCACATAGATGCTATGGTTCATGTGCAATGTTAGATACCGAGTGTATTATGCCAATAAATGGCAGTGACATGGATTGCGTTAGCTCTGAATTATTTTTTATCATGATCTTGCTTTCCAGTATGCTACGCCATCTAGGAGAAGGCTCAGAGAGGTGTGTTCACTTGCCTGAGGTCAATCAGCAAGTAGGTGCACCTGCAAGTTTCTAGCCTCTAGCTCTTACCCGAGGCACTGCCCTGCCCAAGGTGAGAGACACAGCAGCTGGGGGGGGCCGTGGGGAGCAGGCGCAGCTGCATGACTGTGGATGGAAGCCATCCCTTGTTGGTGTTGTGTTTCTATGGTTACTGAGGTCTTACTATGTGCCTGGCAGCACAGTAGGAGTTTCATAATAAGAATGATGGCAAGAGCTAGGTCCCACGTGACTTGGATTTACACACTTACCGCTTATGTCAGCATTCATTCAAAAGGCAGAAAGAGGAGAGAGAGAGAGAGGTGCTCCATCCACTGGTTCACTTTCCAAATGCCTGCGATGGCCAAGACTGGGCAGGTGCAAAGCCCAAAGCTCAATCTAATCCAGGTCTCCCATGTGCGTAGCAGGGACCCAAGCATCTGAGGCAGCCCCACTACCTCCCAGAGTCTGCACCGGCAGGAAGCCGGGCTCGGGAGCCGGAGTTGGCACTCGAACCAGGCACCCGTGTTGTGGGACTCGGGTGTCTTAATGGCTGGACCAAGCACCTGCCCCTTATGCCAGCCCTCTGCAGTGGACATTAGTGCTGTCCCCAGGAAGCCCTGGAATGCAGTCATGTGTGCAGTTATGGAGGAGCTGGGATTTGGACCCAGGCACTCTTGCAGTGGAGGGAGAAGTACCACCCATTTCACAGACTGGAAGACAGAGGCACAGGCTTGCACTCACAGAGCCACAGAACCCTTGATTGTCTCATGGGCACATTCATATGCTTGGTCCCAGTTTTGTCTGGCAGGAGGCAGGGCAGGAGCCTGGGAAGGGCCATGGCCCGGCTCCTACACGTGCCCGCCCCTGTCCAGCCCCGGGGCCCCAGCTGCCCCCGTTGCCTGTGCCACTGTAATGCTGCCTTGAGCTCATGGCACTGGAGCTTGCTGACTGGTCCCAGCTCATGGCGCATTGTGCACGCTGAGTCTACGTTATCTTTGGTGAGTTTTGGACTTTCTTTGCTTTATCACAATATTTATTTATTTTACTTGAAAGTCACAGTTATACAGAGAGAGAGGTCTTCCATCCACTGGTTCACTCCCCAAATGGCTGCAATGGCCAGAGCTGCGCCGATCCAAAGCCAGGAGCCAGGAGCTTCTCCTGGTCTCCCATGCGGGTGCAGGGGTCCCAAGGACTTGGGCCATCCTCCACTGCCCTCCCAGGCCAGAGCAGAGAGCTGGACCAGAAGTGGAACAGCCAGGACATGAGCCGGTGTCCATATGGGATGCTGGCCCTGCAGGCAGCGGCTTTACCTGTTACGCCACAACACCTGCCCCTTTATCACAGTCTTTAAGGTTTTCCACAGCTGGGCAGGTCCACCACTTATTTCCTGTAGTCAATTTCCAGCCTTGGTTAGGAAGGGTCCTGGGACACGGCTGGGACAGAGGTCTCCTCCCCCCCCCCCCCCCGTGAGCCCGTCTTCCCATGTGGGCAGCATAACCAGGACTGACTTCTTCTTGTCCACTGGTGAGCACTCTTTGTATAAAACAGCTATTAACCCTTTGCTGTGCACAGTGCGGCAAAAAATCCCTCCAAGCCTTTTGTACAGTGTCTTGCTAAGATTTTCATTCTTAAAGATTTGTGTATTTGTTTGAAAGGCAAACTCCCCAGATGCCCGAGACAACAAGGTCTCTGCCAGGCCAAAGCCAGGGGCCAAGAACTCCATCCGGGTCTCCCCTGGGGGTGGCAGGGTCCCAGGTTCTTGAACTGCCACCTGCTGCCTCCCAGGTGCGCATCCGTATTAAGCCGGATGGGAAGTGGGGCAGGGACTCCCCTAGGGATGCCAACGGCCCTGGTTGCCTCTTACCCACGGCGCAAAGGCCAGCGACGTGTCACACAAACACCCGAGCGCCTTTCTGGGCGCTGAGTTTCCGCCTGAGCGAGCGAGGTCTCCGCCCCTGCGCCCCTCCCCTCCCGAGCCCTTATCTCGCAGCTTCTCCCTTCCCACGGGTCAGGCCCATAAAAGCGCGCGTGGCAGCCCGCTCCCGCAGCCTCGCCATGTCGCTGCCGCCGCTGCTGCTGCTGGCCCTGGCCCTGGTGGCCGCCCCGGGCGCCCGAGGCGCCTGCCCTGCGCCCGCCGACCTTAAGAAGGAGGACGGCACGCGCACGTGCGCCAAGCTCTACGACAAGAGTGACCCCTACTACGACAACTGCTGCGCGGGCGCCGAGCTGTCGCTGGAGCCCAACACCGACTTGCCCTACCTGCCCTCCAACTGGGCCAACACCGCGTCCTCGCTGGTCGTGGGCCAGCGCTGTGAGCTCACCGTGTGGTCCAAGAAAGGCAAGGAGGGCAAGACGCGCAAGTTCTCGGCCGGCGCCTACCCGCGCCTCGAGGAGTACCGCCGCGGCCTCTTCGGGGACTGGAACAACGCCATCTCCGCGCTCTACTGCAAGTGCGTGCGCCCCCGCCCCGCCCCCCATCCAGGAGGCAGCCCACCCCGTGGTCCACGCCCCTTGCCTCGCTTAGCCACACCTCTGGGATTCGCAGAAGCTGACCACACCCCAGCCCTCTAGCCTGTCTGGAAGCACCCCCACACCACCTTCCCTAAGCGGCAGCCCCAGGGCCCCTCAGACCCACCGCCCACTCACAGCCCTGGGGCCCTCCCAAACCAGCCCCAGCCACCCCTCCTTCCAGGAGCCCCCAGCTCTGAACCCTCCCAGGCCAGGACCCCCGGCTTCCCAGTCGCCTCCCAAACCCTGGGTGTCTTGGTGAGCATCTCCATCTCGATGCTATTGTTGCAGGTGCTCCTGAGGCCCTGAAAGACCACCACCTGCGACCACACGCAGCGCTGAGCCCCATCCCTGCCCGTCCCCGGTGTCTGCTGCAGCCCCGGGGGCAAAGGACTTCCTGCCGCCCCCACTCTGCCTTCCCTGAAATACAGCCCCTGTGAAGATGTCCCTGGCTGCCATCTGCTTGTGTCTGGGGCCGAGTCCACTCAGGACCCACTGGAACAGGGGAGGGAGTGGGGCGGTCAGGCCTGGGGCGGCTCCTACCAGGGGGACGATGCCAGGGACAAGGATCAGCTGTGCACCATGACCACACCCACAGTCGCCTGCTGGGGCACCGCTGGCTGCTGGCTCGCTACTGAAATGCTTCCCATGCTTTTGGGTTAACGGCCTGGCCTCCCAGGAGCCCCCACACCCACAAGGGGAAGCAGGGCCCTGCTAGGACCCCCATCTGTAGAGGCGTGGCCAGACCCGAAGCCTGGGCTGGCTGTGACCGCTCCTCCCCAGCACAGCTGTGGAGCACGCTCTAGCTGGCGTACTTTCTGCTCAGCTTGCGGTCTGTGTCCCCACAGTGACCATGGATGAGGCTCTGGATGGATACTTGGTCTGGGGGCTCTGGGGGTCCTGGGAGGAGAGGCGTGGGGCCAGCTCTTGTTGGGGGGGGGGTGACAACTGCAAATGGTGGAGAGGGAGGGAGCTCTTGGAGATGTTGAGAGTTGAGGGGAGGGGGTTGTATGAAGAGATCAGAGGTCAAGGTCAGCCCAGGGGTCCGAGGTTTCGAGGATGCGCTAGTGGGGTAGAACCGGGCGAAGCTTTGGGCTCAGCATCCACGGGCAGCCGTGTTTATTGATCCACTCAGCACAGATTCTGCAGCACCTACTGTGCGCCTGGCGCAGAACCTGCAGGAGTGGCCCCACCTCCTGGAGCTCCGGGACATTGAGGATGTCACATGAGAAGCCCAGGACCAGGCTGGAGTGGGGGCCGGCCTGGGAGGGGGTGTGTGTGATCACGGTGGGGCTGAGGGCTCAGGAAGGGGACCTTGGGGGTGCCGGGGCGCTGATGGGGGTCAGGGCCGTCACTCGCGGAGCTGTACGGACACGGAGGAGTCGGTCACCCGGGTCCGCCGCACTCCCCCTGGCTCCTGGCGGTTCTTGGTCTTGTGTAGGAAGTGGACAAAGCGCACGCCGGATCCGTACTGGCGGAACACGTGGGCTACCTGGGCCAGCAGCTGGGTCAGGAAGGCATGCTGCCAGGCCCCCCTCCCACGAGCCCTGCTCCACTCCCTCCCCCTGGGGCAGGGGCATGGAGACAGCAAGTCTCACCTGGACCCAGCGGCCCGGGGGGCCTCTCCCGTTGGTCCGGGGGGCCACGTGGTGCTGCGCGATGACTGTGCGGCGGTCAGCGGCCAGCAGCCACACGTGCAGCTCATACACGCAGGCGTCCAGGCGGCTGTCCTCGTACCTGGGGGTGGGATTGAGGCCGTCAGCGGCTGCCACAGTGCCACGGCCACTGGTTCCGTTCCCCGTGCCACACACACTCACTGCATGCACTTGGCATCACAGGGCAGTGACTGCAAGGGATTCAGAGTCCAGTGGGGTGACAGTCAGGCGTGGTCAGGGCTGGGGGGGGCCACCCATGGCCCTGCGGCCAACGCATCCAACCCAGCTGGGGGCAGGGGTGGTCAGGGAAGGCTTCCTGGTGGAGTCATGTGGATGGGACACCCCCCCCCCAAAGATAAGGAGGAAGAGAGGGGGACAGGCACCCAAGGAGGAAGGAGCAGCCTCGGCACGGCCCAGAGATGGAAGAGACTGGGCCACTTCCAAACGGAAAGCCTGGGACAAGAGGCCCCGGAGGGCACGCACCAGTCCATGACGGTGATGTCGGGCTGCTCATCATCCAGCAGCTCCTCCCACAGGCCCTCGGCCAGGAGGTCCACACACTGCCGCTTCACGGTCCAGCTGCGGGCAAGCGGCCCTGGTCACAGCACTCCCCTGGCCCCGCCTCCCGGCCCTGGCCCCGCCCAGGGCAACGCCCTTCGAACCCTGTGCTGCTCAGATGAGAAAACTGACGTTCAGGATTGGGATAAGCCCAAGGTGAAGTGGCAGAAGCAGAACCTAAACCCCGGGCGGGCGCAGGTGCTTCAAACCATGTGAGGCTTCCCGGAGGATGCCTAGTGGCCTGGGGTGACCCCTCCCACCGCAGGGACAGCCATCTCTGCGCGCCAGGCCTCGCAGGAGCCGGCGCTCCTCTGTGACTGGCTAGGCCATGGAGCCCCCAAGGGGCCCAAGTCAGTCTCTCTGGGCCCCAGAGTGAAGAAGGCCACAGGGCCCCGGCGACTCACCTGAGGCCCTCCTGAAGCTGCTCCGTGTGAATGTGCCATCCGCGGAAATTGCCTGGCAGGTGGCGGCAAGAACAGTTAGGGTCTCCCTGGCCCCGGGCGGCCCTGACCTCCAGCCCGGCCCCCAGCACTTACCCAGAGCCTGCAGGGGTTGCTGGGTAGGACCAGTAGGGGGCGCTGGCTGGTAAATGTTGATGCCTGGAAAGTGCAGGGGAGCGCAGCCTCAGGCCCCTTCCACATCCCCATCCTCGCCATTCCCCACCCCCAGGGCCGCACTGGAAGGGCAGGAACCTGCCTCACGCCAGACCAGCCCGGCAGGGGCAGTGAGTCAGGCCCCGGGGGAGCGGCTTGCAAGGTCCTGGGGGAGCCGAATGATAGGGGTGGGAGGAAAGGGGTGAGACAGACAGAGGGACCCAGGGAGGCGCCCAGAGAACGAGGCGGAGACAGGCGATGGTGCGAGGCAGAAATGGCAGGTGCTGGGGGGCGGGAGGATGGCGGGGGGCAGAGAGCGCCAGAGCCAGCGAGGGGCGGAGAGAGCTAGCAGGACAGGGGAGTTGCAGAGCGGGCCAAACAGAGCCCCAGCGACAGCAGAGGCAGAGGGGCGCGGGCGGATGCAGAGGCAGACGGCCCGGGCGCACCCTCGGGGTTGGGCGAGCGCAGCAGGTTGCGGTAGAGCGGCCGCCGCACGAGCAGCAGCTTCCAGGTGAGGCGCGGGGGCAGCTCCAGGCCCCCGCCCAGCGGCCCCCACTCCTCCAGCAGCAGCTGCCGGGCGCTGGCCTCGGACGGCGGCTCGGCCTGCGGGGGCCTGGGGCTCTCCGGGGCCGCGGGCGACGGCGACGGCGGCGGCGGCGGCGAGGGCTGCGGCGGCGGCAGCTCCGGGGACCTCGTGGGCCCCTCGGCCTCCGCCTCGCCGCCCAGAGCGTCGTCGTCCCGCTCCTGCTCCATCCGTGAGGCCGGAGCGACTGTCCCGGTTCCGCCGGGCTCCGGGTTAACTGGGGGCGGAGGGGGCGTGGTGCCCCAGCCGGGTTTTAAGAGCGGGGCGTGCCGGGGGTGGGGGTGGGGGGAAGGATCTGCGCCCTCAGGGCCCTCCTCCTTCAGACTGGGGAGACCAGCCCCCTCCCCGCAACCACGGACATGCTCCCACAGACCAGGGAGCCAGGCCCCCTCCTCCCTCGGACCCGCTCCTCCCTTAGACTGGGGAGACCAGCCCCCGTCCCCTCCCCCACCCCACCATGCACCTCCTCCCTCAGATCCGGGGCTGCACATCCCTGGTCCCTCCTCCCTCAGACCCCTGCCCCTGCTGGGTTTCCTGGACTTTCTGCCCCAGTTTTCCAGGGCCAGCGGAGGCCCAGGCCTGGCCTAGGAGGGGGTGACAATGGAGCTAATGCCAGGCTTGTGTCTCTCTAATGAGGCTCATCTGCCTCATTAAGATCGGGCCTCAGATCTGGAGGGGGCGGGATTAAAAGGCTAATTAATAAAGACTCTCCCTTCCCCCTCCTCACAGGGAGGGGGCGGTTCTAGCCTCTGCCACTTCCTCCTCTGCCCCCACCAAGGGACACACCCCTGGGACCCTGGTGTTGTCTGTCCTGGAGACCAAGGTGGGCAGGGCAGGGAAGCAGCGAGCAGTCAGGGAACCCCCAGGGACAACGCAGGGCTGCGGGGAGGGGAGCGGCCAGCCCCTGGGCTTTTTTGGGGGTGCCGGCCCACCTTGCTGGGCTGGGGCTGGAGCCTCCTCCCTCCCGCTCAGAGGTCACGGGGAGTGCGGAGTGCGGGATGGGGCAATGGTGGGCGCAGAGGAACCTGCGGAGCCAGATGCCCGTGGCCACTTCCTGTTGGACCACACCCCCACCTGGCTCAGGTTCACACCAGGCAGAGCAGCGTTGCCAAGCCAGTTTCACCCTCACAAAGATGAGGAGGTCGGGGCTGCTGCGACTGGAATTTTATTTAGTTTTTTAAAGTTTACTCGTTTGGGGGCCGGTGCTGTGGTATAGTCGTGATAAAGCTGCCGCCTGCAGTGCCAGCATCCCCTATGGATGTCGGTTCGAGTCCCAGCTGCTCCTCTTCCAATCCAGCTCTCTGCTGTGGCCTGGGAAAGCAGTGGAAGATGGCCCAAGTGCTTGGGCTCCTGCACCCATGTAGAGACCCAGAAGAAGCTCCTGGCTCCTGGCTTCGGATCGGCACAGCTCTGGCCATTGCAGCCGTTTGGGGAGTGAACCAGTGGATGGAAGACCTTTCTCTCTCTCTCTCTCTCTCTCTCTCTCTTTCTCTGCCTCTCCTTCTCTCTCTGTGAAACTCTGCCTTTCAAATAAATAAATAAATCTTTAAAAAAACAAAAGGAGAAGAAGGAAGAAAGAAAACTGATGTGTCCATCCCGGTCTGGTGAGCCCCACATGCTCACCCGCACCTGCTGCCCCACACTCCCTGGGAATGTGTGCTGGGACACTCACAGAGCCCACGCCCCGTGACAATGTTGCTGTGACAGTGGGCTGCCTGCGTGCGGGGCATCGCTCCAGGTCTTGGGAGCGACTCATCGTGCTCCACACCCACCCTGGGAAGCAGACGCTGCAGCCGCGCCCCAGTGCACAGAGAGGTCTAGCCACGCGGCTGAGGCTGCACAGCCGCCTTCACACAAGATCTCAGATGCGGTGCACAGGGACACGGGTGGCCCCAGAGAGAAAGAGTGGCTCGCACGGGCCCAGACAGGAAGTGGCCATGACCTTCCTTCACTGAATCTCCACCCTGACCCCGCTGAACCTCACCACAGCCCTGCAGACGGGAAACTGGTCTCGCCATCCTTAAGCTGGGGAACTGAGAAGGGATCTGCCTGGGGAGAGACGGAAATTCACCAGAGCCTGGGGGATTGTGGGACCTGGGCAGGGGCTGGGCTGGGGGGAGGCACCTGCAGGGCGTGTCCCCGCTGCACACGGAAGTCGGCCACAGATTCCCGGCAAACACTGACAAGAACCTTCGACACACCCACACCCGCATGTGTGGCCCAAAACACTCCTGGCCACCGTAGGCCCACAAGCTGGAGCCCTCATCCTGGGTCCCACCCGCCCTGCGTCAGCCCTGTGGTTGTCATCCGGGGGAGGAGGTGTGTCAGCTGGGGCGGTCAGAGCAGTCCCCAGGTCAGAATCCAGGGCAGGGAGTGGCCCAGAGCCAGAGGAGGCTGTGACCGGAGCTTGGCAGAGTCTGCCGGCTGGCTGGCACGGATGCCCCTCTCCCTCCCCCCACCTGCCCAGGCTGGCACTTGGTCATCTCCCTGGGAGCCTCCCTCCCCCATACACATGACAGCCAGCAGTTGTCCCAAAGTCCAAACCCAGCCTCGCACTCTGCCAGCTAAACCCCCCATGGCTCCCCAGTTCCCTCCCCCAGAATATCCCAGCCTTCCGGCCCCTGTCTCTATAATCTGCTCCCTGCTGGCTTAGGGCTTTTGTTGGAGGGCTTCACCCTCCCCGCTCAGGGCATTTGAGCCAGGCCTCGGGGGTGGGCGCCGGTGTCTACAGAGACACCTGCTCTCACATCTGCACCCACAGTCTGCATGGGCAAGTGCATGCCCACGTTAGGGAGCCCGGGTGGGGCTCCTGCCTGTGCCAGGCTATGTATGCGAGGGGGCCCCAGGCTGTGTGAGTGCTGCTTGCCCCAGGTTGCTGCCACTCGGGATCAGGTAGTGAAGCGTGGGCAGTGTTTTGATTGCGCAGGAGAGGGTTTGGTGATTTCTGGTAGGACCAAGCACGCTCCCACCCCCGGCCCCAGCGATCCGAGCAGTCAGCCACAGCGAGTGCTCTGGGGGATGGGGGGGGGGACCCCGGCCCAAGCACCAGTCAGAGCTGGGAGAATAGGGAAGGCCCTGGCACACCTGGACAACACAGGAGCCGGCTCAGTGGGTTTTGTGTTGCTACAACCGAAGACCAGGGGCTATGTCTTGTATAAAGAAGCATGTTTACCTGGCCTGCATTCCATCTGGGAGGGCCCGGGTTCGAGTCCTGGCTCCGACTCCCAGTTCCAGCTTCCTGCCATTGCAGACCGTGGGAGGCGACGGTGATGGCTGTTGGGTCCCTGCCACACACCTGGGAGACCCAGATGGAGCTCCTGGCTCCTGGGCGCCTGTCTTCAGCCTGGCCCAGTCCTGGCCATCTGGCATCTGAGGGAAAAGCAGTGGATGTTTGTGACTCTCCCTCTCTAACTAAAAATAAAGATTAACTAAAAAAAAAAAAAAAAAAAAGATTGATTGATTGATTTGAAAAGCAGAGATGCAAAGAGAGAGGGAGGGACAGAGAGAGAGAACTTCTACCTGCAGGTTCACTCCCCGGTCAGCTGCCAGGGCCTGGCCAGGCTAAAGCCAGGAGCCTGGAACTCCATCCAGGTCTCCCACGTGGGTGCAGGGTCCAGGCACTTGGGCCACCCTCCACTGCCTTCCCAGGCCACAGCAGAGAGCTGGAGCAGAGGTGGAGCAGCTGGGACTCGCCGGCATCACAGGCGGTGGCTTAGCCCACTGTACCACAATGCCACCCCTAAGTAAAAATGGTTTAAGGAAAGCTTGCCAGTGGAAGATGCCCAAGTGTTTGGGCCCCTGCACCCGTGTGAGAGACCTAGAAAAAGCTCTGGCTCCCGGCTTCAGATCAGACTGGCTCTGGCCATTGCGGCCATTTGGGGAGTGAACCAGCGGAAGGAAGACCTCTCTCTCTGTGTGTGTGTGTGTGTGTCTCTGTCTCTGTCTCTCCCTCTCTCTGTACCTCTTTCAAATAAATAAATAAATCTTTAAAAAAAGAAAAGCTTGCTCTGACGATTCTGAAGGCTGTGAAGCCCAATGCGGAAGGCGTCAACGAAACGGCCAAGAGCAGGAGGGCAGGAGCTAACGCCGGGCTCCTCCTCTCTACCCACTAATCTCATCGGGGAGCCGGCCTAGCACAGCTGTCGCCGGGCAGCTCGGGCAGCGGGAGTTGTGGAGGGGACGGACATTCAGACAGGAACGAACGGTCACAACTTGCCAGGGCACGAATGAACCTGGAAGTCACCAGGCTGAGTGACAGAGGCCAGGCTAAAAGGACCACTCCCTGCGTGATTGCACTTCCGGGACATTCTGGAGGAGGCCAGACCAAGGTAGAGTGAAGGGAAACAGGTGAGTGGCTGGGAGGGGCTGGGGTTCAGAGCCAGGCAGTGAGGAAATGAACTTGGGGGCGATGGAGGACGACGCCCCTTAGTGGTGGTCCCTGGTAGGTGCACACGGGAGCAGAACTCCAGCTTCATTGGGAAAATGTGTGTGTTCTACTGTGTGTGAACCACACCTCAATAAGAAACAAAACAGATCCCTGCAGTGCCAGCATCCCATATGGGCACCGGTTCGTGTCCCAGCTGCTCCTCTTCCAATTCAGCTCCCTGCTATGGCCTGGGAAAGCAGCTCCGGCTGTTGTGGCCATCTGGGGAGTGAACCAGCAGATGGAAGACCTTTCTCTCTGTCTCCCTGCCTCTCCACTTGTAACTCTACCTCTCAAATAAAAATAATAAAGAAAAAACTGTGGGGCTGGCGCTGTGGCGCAGCAGGTTAAAGCCCTGGCCCGAAGTGCCAGCACCCCACATGTGCACCAGTTCTAGTCCTGGCTGCTCCACTTCCTATCCAGCTCTCTGCTGTGGCCTGGGAAAGCAGAAGACGCTCCAAGGCTGGCGCCGCGGCTCACTAGGCTAATCCTCTGCCTGCGGCACCGGCACACCGAGTTCTAGTCCCGGTCGGGGCACCGGATTCTGTCCCGGTTGCCCCTCTTCCAGGCCAGCTCTCTGCTGTGGCCAGGGAGTGCAGTGGAGGATGGCCCAAGTGCTTGGGCCCTGCACCCCATGGGAGACCAGGAGAAGCACCTGGCTCCTGCCTTCGGATCAGCGCGGTGCTCTGGCCGCAGCAGCCATTGGGGGGTGAACCAACAGAAAAAAGGAAGACCTTTCTCTCTGTCTCTCTCTCACACTGTCCACTCTGCCTGTGAAGAAGAAGGAAGAGGAGGAGGAGGAGGAGGAG